AGGTAGATGGAACACCGGGGGAGATGAATCTCAGGAAATGTCAGGAAAAGTGTGGGGAATCTCAGGAAAATTGTTATGCATTTAGGTATCTCAAAAGTTGTGTGCTTTCTTGGAGATTGAATGATATTGCAGTTGGAGAAGATATCGAAACTAATAGGAGATAAAGATTATCATCAGCTTCGGCGTGTTCGGGATGTTTGAGATAGTGAGATGGAGAAGAAGAAGAGGATAGGAGTGATACATAACAGATTTTGAGGAAAAAGTAACAAATTTTGTGGGATGGGCTGAGCATCTACCACCATACATTATCATATCCGCGTAAGCATTATGCAGTTAGCAGCCGTCCATCATCGTCATCCGGAGCTTTATCAGAATTTCGAGCGCTTAAAGTTAGAAAGCTAAAGGAAACGCGGCTGTCATATCCGATGAAGACTTCCCTTTATTCTTGATCCGAAGCAACAATTTCTCTGAGCAATATCAGCAGGAGTAGTAGGTGCAGCAGTTTCATTCTTCCTGTTTCTTTGCTTACTAAATCCATCGACGTACCGACCAATCAACTAACTGAACTGCTGACTCCTTACTCTTGGTCTTATATTATCTGTGAAATCAACTTTTGTTGCTGATGTATTTTAATTTGAACCAACACTTTGCGGTATTAGGTATTATATGCATGCCGTTCTATTCTACACTGGTGTAACTATTGATATTTTCATTATACCATACTGTTTTGTTCGTACCGTCGTCGTTATCATCAATAAGATTTTTGGCAAATTACATCATGGAAGAGATTAATTCTGGATAACTATCTAGTGGAAAATCGTTGTGGCATTGTTATTCCTGCATTCGCTATTGCTTGTGGTGGTGGTGGTGGTGGTGGTGGTGGTGGTGGTGGCGGTAGCGCTAACGGTAGTGGCGGTAATTTTACCCTCAAACAGCCAATATTTCATCCTTCCAGCTTCTACCCCCGTTGGCCCCATCCAAGTGGGTTCAAACACCACCAAATTCACCAACAGCAACCACCGTGTTACCGCAATATCCATTGAATGGCTTTTACCGATTGCCGCTGACACAGCTTAAGCAACCGGTTAATCATCTTACAAAGTCGAAATTTGGAAAACTATTCAATTCGTTGGACTTATCAACCCATACTCCTGTAATCAAGCACTATTACTCGTATCGGATCCCGCAACACGCCACCTTGGTACCGTCACCGATTCATCACCAATCTTCACTTCACGCTTTCATTTTGCCCACTTCATCCATATCTCCATCATTACGCTCAAGTCCATCTCCACATCCATTTTGTATTACTAACGGATTGTTGTTTAAACCGCCGGAACAATACCGCACAAAAATGCCACGTCATGGTTTTGACAGCATACGGCGAATGCCGATTGTGGTGATTCCACGAAAGAGGAAATATAAAAATTACGTGTCTAGGAGGCGTAATACGCAACTTATCGCTAGTCTACGTCGTTGTTTCTCCGATCCAGTGTTATACCGAGGTTACAATCATTGGGAAGGTCTATCAAGGCCATTTTCTCCAGAAAAACCATCATCATTTGTATCTTCTACCTTTGCAGCACCTATTGCTGCTATACCTGAAGCGACTTCTTTTGATGATTTGACGATGAAGGTTGAAGCTAGAGCCGGAAAGGAATCCGCTTCACTAATATCGAAGAAATCAAAATTCAAGGAAGAAAGAGTAATTTTTGGAGAAGTGAAATCGGTAGTTCAGAAAGATGAGGAAGATGAGAAGGGGAGACGTAAAGGTAACCACCAAAAGTTATCAAATATTTTTGATTTCGAAATGAAGAAAGCTGGAATAGGTGCAAATTATTCGGATAACGTTTTCCTAGATGTGAATGATGAAGGCGAAAGCCTGGCGGAAGTTGCCTTACGTGCTCCTACTCCGCCAACAACATTCAGGATCCGACCTCGTAATTTGGCTTCTCGTAGTGCTGTGTTATCGAGAACAACTACTGTGGAAACACCGCTCATTAAGCGACGTTTCTTAGGTTGTGCAAAATACCAGGTAGGTAGTGGTAGCGTTCGGAAAGATTATCGAGAATATGTCAATTTACCCTCAGGAAGCAATAATTTAAATGAAAGAGAAGAGGAACGGACGGCCGAACAAAGAGCTCAGAATACGGTTACAGCTGTTACAGCTGCTTTTTCAACCCTAACACTCGAACCACAACAAACTACACTCGAACCACAGCAAACTGAGTACGAACGAGAAGCTGTTGATGAGCAGACAAACAATATAGGTGCTGTAACTGTTGTTGGAGGAAGAGAAGCAGTTAGAGTAGTTGATGAAGTTACGATAAGACGTGTTGATGAAATCGAAAAGCCAATTGTACCAGTACCACAGCAAATGCCAAATATAAATTCAGCAAGTGATAATAATACCATCAGTATTGGCGGTGACAGTGGACTGCGAAAATCTCGAAAAGCAGTACCACAGTCTACCGTAATCACCCTAATACCACCACCATCTACGCGAAAACTAAAACCAACCAAAATTTCGCGCAATTCCTTACTTGCAACCCTTCAGCTGCCGCCATCTGTTAGTGCAAAAGTGGATCGAATTATTGCAAATGCTGATCGGAAAGAAAAAGAACGGTGTACCAATCATGCTGCTGTTAACTCGGTACCGTTTTTCCTTGATACATAGTCCTTGGTGGGCACGTCAGTCAGTTTGAAACCAATTTAAAAAAA